TAGGATCTCCAGCACTTTGTTCCCAGTCCTTGGCCTTACAATTTATGTTGCACCAGCTCTGCCCTGCCCTGTTGTCTTAAATCTGCACATGCCCACTTTTCTTGGTCATCAGTTTCTTGCTGTTTTGTTATGTTTTATGATGTCTTCGATTTTATGGGTTTTATTGTTTTAATATAGTTGATTGTTATATGTTTTTAATTGTGTTATTTTGCACCTTGTTTATATTGGGCTTGGTCGCCCTGAGTCCCTTCTGGGAGATGGAGGCAGGATAGAAGAATAACATTGTTGTTGTTTGTTGTTGTTGTTGTTGTTGTTATATTGCATTTAGTACCTGACTGCCTAATAACAACTTTTTCTCCCAATTTCTGTGGTGTGAATTTGCTTGTGTTCCTAAATCCCACAATCAGCTTTCAGTGTTGTCTGCAGCTTAAAAATAGGAAGAGCAGGTGTGCCATATGACGTCTGCCTTGTGAGGAAAATATATTCAAAACAGGAAAAAATGTTTTAAGTGGAATCAATGACTGTCCAAAGTTTGATGAAAAAAAAGGGCAAGGGTTGTATCCAAGCCTTTTTGTATGCAAAACATATATTTTGCACTGAACTGCAGCCCACTGGCTGTATAAATGCATGGTAAAATTGCAAGTTCAGTGATACCACATTTGTTTTGAGTCTGGTTTCAAATGCCACTTTAAGGAGGAGACAATGATTACATTGCCTTTTAGCTTGAGAGTTTCATCTCTACAATAAGGTTCAAGGTAGTTCATGTCCCTTGATAATATAAAGATGCTTCTACTTTGAAGCTCTAAACTGGATACAAGCAGAACTATATTTATTAATGCAATTTGATATAGATAATATGTGCAGGAGTTGTGCAGAGAGGATGTGGTAGGTGGAACTTGTAATGCAGAAAATAAGACTATGTAACACAATTTTTGTTCGTGGGTTATTAGTGGCATTTCCTAATTGATTCTATCATAAAAACATGGGGAAAATGTTTTAAATGGAATCAATGACTGTCCAAAGTTTGATGTAAAAAAAAAGGCCAAGGGTTGTACCCAAGTCTTTTTGTATGCAAAACATATATTTTGCACTGAACTGCAGCACCCCTGGCTATATAACATGGAAAAAGTTTATTAAACTGTGAAAACTTTGTTTTTGCAGGGCCTCTAGCACATTTTGCTATAGTTTTTCAATGAATATCTCATAGAGTCTCAGCCAATTTAACATAGTTTGTGGCAGTCACACAAATGAAGTTTCTGGAGTATAACAACTACTTTCATAGTATGTAGGGCATAACGGTGCTCCATGCAGTCATGCCAACCACATGACCTTGGAGGTGTCTATGGACAATGCCAGCTCTTCGGCTTAGAAATGGAGATGAGCACCACACCGCAGAGTCGGACACGACTGGACTTCATGTCAGGGGAAAACCTTTACCTTTACCTATGGCACAATGAAACAGAAAATGGCACTTTCAAACAAGGAGCAGATCCCTCCCCCCCAAATTTTGTTAATGTGTAATGGTTCTGCACAATTACTGCAGCTTCCTATGTGGAAGAGTCTGCTTTCTGTACAGATATGTAAAGCCATTGATAAGAGCAAAATATATGAAAATGAAGGACTTCTGACCCAAGAATACTATAAGGCAATGTTTCTCAAACTCTGCTCCTCCATGTGTTTTGAACTTTAGCTCCCAGAAAGCTCAGCCAGTTTCACAGCTGTAAGGAATTGTGGGAGCTGAAGTTCAATATTTCTGAAGGAGCAGAGTTTGAGAAACAGTGCTATAGAAATCTTGTGTCTTAGGGCCCTTTCCGACAGGCCCTATATCCAAGGATCTGATCCCAGGTTTTCTGTTTATTCCAGATTATCTTGCAGTGCAGACTCATATAATCCAGTTTAAAGCAGAAAACCTGGGATCAGTTCCTGGGATATACTTAGTATTTAGTACTTAGGCAATCCCTTATAGCCCAAGAATAATGGTCCTCCAAGTCTGGTGTCTTGGCGGGGGGTCCGTAGGTGGCTGGGGAGCCGTATTCTTGATCTGTATGTTCTCCCACAATGAGGACATCCGTTTCCATGTGGAAGGCAGTCCCGGTCAGGGTTGGCTTGATGCGCTTCGTCTTAGCATGTTTCTCCCTTTCACCTTCCATTCGTGCCTCTTTAAATTACACAGCACTGCTGGTCACAGCTGACCTCCGGTTAGAGCGCTCAAGGTTCAGAACTTTCCAGTTCTCTGTATCTATGCCACAGTTTTTAAGGTTGCCTTTAAGTCCATCTTTAAATCTCTTTTCCTGTCCACCAATGTGGGATATAGGGCCTGTCTGGAAGGGCCCTGAGTGGCACAGCACATCAAAATGTACAAAACTTGCAAAACATTGGGAGTCCATTTCTTGACATCTCCAGTTAACATAATTCTGCAATGTTAAATATTGAAGATTTTTGCCCAGGCCATGGTGAAGTGACTGCAGGAACCATCCCCAAAAATTATCATACTGGCTAAGGAATCTCTGAGCTATGGTATAAGTAGGGATAGTTTCCCACCACTACCTCAAGGTTAGTTTGGAAAAGAACCCTGCATGATATTTCAGAGTCGGATTTGTAATTGAGACAATGCAGGACTAGGTGGGCAGTCTGTAAGATGGACAGGCATGAGGCTACTTCTTGTATTTCCTGTGTTTGGAAAAAAATTTTGCAAGAATGCATGATGGCTGTGTAAACTCCTAGTTACAACATGCAACAAGCATTTAAGTATCGATATGCTCCCCTCACTCTGAGCTCTAATGATTGGAACCATGATGTAAAACACAGGAACATTTCCATCACGGTGTTCCTGCTATCAAGGAATGCTTCCACAAATAATTTCCATCTCTAAAACATCAAATAGGAAAAGTATTGATGCAATGCTTTTCATATAGGACTGACAGTGTGAGGTTCTAACAAGGCTGCCTCATATATGTCAGCAAGGTTCAATGTATTGGAACTGAATCCACAGATGAACATTTCAGCACATGTTCTGTCATTTTGATACTCCATGGGGTATCAACCATTTAACTTGGGTATTTCACTTTTTAGCTACACAATGTAATGGCTGGTTTGCACTAAACATAAAAAAACCAAGATTATGGCAACAAGAATTATTGACAACTGGCATATAGAGGGAGAAAACATGGAGGCCGTGACAGACTTTGTATTTCTAGGTGCAAAGAGCAGAAGACGCTTACTTTTTGGGAGGAGAGCAATGTTCAATCTCCATAAAATAGTGAAGAGTAGAAACATCACACTGGCAATGAAGATCTGCATAGTTAAAACAATGGTATTCCCTGTAGTCACCTACGGATGTGAGAGCTGGACCTTAGGGAAGGCTGAGTGAAGGAAGATAGATGCTTTTGAACTGTGGTGCTGGAGGAAAGTTCTGAAAGTGCCTTGGACTGCAAGAAGATCTAACCAGTCCATACTTCAGGAAATTAAGCCCGACTGCTCATTGGAAGGAAGGATAGTAGAGGCAAAGATGAAGTACTTTGGCCACATCATGAGAAGAAAGGAAAGCTTAGAGAAGACAATTATGCTGGGGAAAATGGAAGGAAAAAGGAAGAGGGACTGACCAAGGGCAAGATGGATGGATGGCATCCTTGAAGTGACTGGATTGACCTTGAAGGAGCTGGGGGTGGTGATGGCTGACTGGGAGCTTTGGCGTGGACTGGTCCATGAGGTCATGAAGAGCTGGAAATGACTCAACAAATGAATGACGACAACAAGAGGCTCAGCCATCATACTCGCACAACTCATATCATACTTAGGGATAGCCTAAGTAAGCAAGTACACTTAGAAGGCCATCATTCTTGCACAACTCATATCATACTTAGGGATAGCCTAAGTAAACAAGTACACTTGAAAAGCCATCACAGTGCAATGAATGTGATGATTACAGGAATGGAAATTTGGACGACGGATTGGATCACGACTCTAGTTATGAGATGCATTGTGTTGTCTATTGTTGTGTCAATATTGTTTATTATGCTTTTATGGTTTTAAATTGTATATCGTTGATTGATTCTTATCCTTGTTGTAAACCGCGTTGAGTCGCCTATTGGGCTAAGAAACTGCGGTATACAAGTAAAGTAAATAAATAAATAAATAAATATCACACTCTCACAATTCACATCATACTTAGGGATAGCCTAATGTAAGTACACTTGGGAGGCCATCATACTTGCACAACTCACATCATACTTAGGGATAGAGTAAATAAGTAAGTGCACTTGAAAGGCCATCATACTTACACAACTCATATCATACTTAGGGATAGCCTAAGTAAACAAGTACACTTTAGAAGGCCATCATACTTGCACAATTCACACCATACTTAGGGATAGCCTAAGTAAGTAAGTACACTTGGGAGGCCATCATACTTGGACAACGAGGGATCACCTAAGTCTAAGAAGTCATGCAGCTATGGCAGGCGATGAAACCTGGCCCCAAAGTGCATTCCATCACTTTGGGAGATTACTTTGAAAAACGGATGTGTGTAAAGAATGGTTTTGAAAAGCCTGTGGTCCTGTTTCCTCCCTTTGGACCAGGGACATCCCTTTGGGTTGTTGAAGGTCTTTCAGACTGTATGGCCATGTTCTAGAAGCATTCTCTCCCGACCTTTCGCCTGCATTTATGGCAGGCATCCTCAGAGGTTGTGAGGTCTGTTGGATTCCCTTTGCCTGTGAGCTCCGGAGGAAAGACATATGGGTGCCATGTGGCTTATAAGAATCAGATGTGCTGCATATGGACACTGAGGTCCCCAGCCAACATTCCTGGAAGCGGGCATTCTCCAAGCAGGGAACACTCTTTCCCTCGGTTCCTCCTCTCCTTCCTTCTCTCTCATTCCAGAGCCATTGTTTCCTCCTCCTTCTTTCTTTCTTTTTTTTTGATGCTGTCCTGCGGGGGTCTGTCCCGGTGCCGCTGATTGGTGGGAGGGAGCCTTTGAAAGGCCGGTCGGGAGGAGGAGGAGGAGGAGGCGAGGAGAGATGGGATGGGATCTTATGCTAATCCCGGGCGCGCGCGCGGGACCCGCCTCCCTGCCCTGCCGCGCTGAGGGGAGCCGGCCTGACGGGAAACCCATCGAAGGGCCCGGGAAGGTACAAAAGAGAGGCTTCTGGGGCTGGGAACAGCGGCCAAGCGGCGGTCCTTCGGGCAGCAGGGGCTCGGATGCCTCCGACCTCCTCCTTGGGCGTCTGCGAAGAACGAGGCGAAGCCTTCCCAGCGAGGAGAAGCGCCTCGGCGAGGCTCCATCCAACCCACGCCTTCCTCGGGACGCTTTGGAGCATCTCCTTCCCTCCTTCCTTCCCTCCCGGGCGACGATGAGCAAGAGCCAGAGCTCTCCCTGCGCCCCGCTGGCTTCGCTCCTCTGCCTGGCCGGGACGCTCCTGGCTCGGCTGGCCGACGCCAAAGGCACCTACTACCGGGCTCCCCCGGCGCCCGTCGCGTACGGCAACCGCTACAGCCTCTACACCTCGGGATCCAGCCCGCAACTCACGCCGGGGAAGCCGCTGGGCAAGCACAAGTAAGCCCTCCCCTGGCTCGCCTTCCGCCCGCGCTCCTCGCCTCGCTTGGCTTCTCGCCCGCTCAGAGCTGGACCCCAAAAGCGACCAAGGGGGGAGGGGGGAGGGAGGGAAGGATGGAAGGAGAGAACAATGTACTGTCGAAGGCTTGCATGGCCGGAATCACTGGGTGGTTGTGAGTTTTCCGGGCTGTATGGCCATGTTCCAGAAGCATTCACTCCTGACGTTTCGCCTGCATCTATGGCAGGCATCCTCAGAAGTTGTGAGGTCTGTTAGGAACTAGGCTTAGGTGAGGTTTATATATCTGTGGAGTGTCCAGAAGCATTCTGTCCTGTATTGATGGCAAGCATCCTCAGAGGTTGTGCGGTCTTTCATGGCCAGAATCACTGGGTTGTTGTGAGTTTTCCGGGCTGTATGGCCATATTCCAGAAGCATTCTCTCCTGACGTTTCGCCTGCATCTATGGCAGGCATCCTCAGAAGTTGTGAGGTCTGTTGGGAACTAGGCAAGTAGGGTTTATATATCTGTGGAATGTCCAGAACAAGCTTTCCAGCTCCGATTCCGTCTCGCAGCAGTAGCAACAATGCGTTGTTCATGGCCAGAATCACTGGGTTGTTGTAGGTTTTTCGGGCTGTAGGGCCATGTCGCAGAAGCATTCTCTCCTGACGTTTCGCCTGCAGCTATGGCAGGCATCCTCAGAGGTTGTGAGGTCTGTTGGAAACTAGGAAAATTAGCGGGGGGGGGGGGGGGTCTTGGCTTCAGCCCCCCCCCCCGAAATTCTCATGGTGGTTCGCGAAAAGGCCTTACTGGTGCATTATTTAAACTGTTATGTTTATTCATATCATGATCTGATCACCATACCCAATATATCCCATATGCATGGGGGTATTGGGGTAATGATACAAAAGGTTTGCTAGGGTAGACCCTCTTTCACTCAGACTCAGCCCCCCCCCGAAACTCAGCCCCCCCCCCCCCAAATCAAAATCCTGGCTACGGCCTGACTGGGTCGTTTAAGTTTTCCGGGCTGTATGGCCATATTCCAGAAGCATTCTCTCCTGACGTTTCGCCTGCTTCAATGGCAGACATCCCCAGAGGTCGTGAGGTCTGTTGGAAACGAGAAAAAATTGGTTTATATATCTGTGGAATGTCTAGGATGGAAGAAAGAACTCTTGCCAGTTTGAGGCAGGTGTGAATGCCGTAATTGGCCGACTTGATTAGCATTTAATGGTCTAGGAGCTTCAAACCTGGTTGGTGACTACCTGGCGGGATCCTAGGGCCAGCTAAGCTAACACCTCCCAACAAAGGATTTTCTCCAGGCAGCAACCAACCAGGCTTTGAAGCTGCAAGGCTATTCAATGTTAATCAAGGTAGCCAATTGCAACATTCACACTTGCGTGACATTCCACACATATATGAACTCAATTTTCCTAGTTTCCAATAGACCTCACAACATGAGGATGCAGGCGAAACGTCAGGAGAGAATGCTTCAGAAACGTGTCCATGCAGCCTGGAAAACTCAAAGCAACTCACGGAAACTAGGAAAGTGGGGTTTATATATCTATGGAATGCCCAGGGTGGGAGAAAGAACTCTTTTCTGTGTGAGGCAAGCGTGAATGTTCCAATTGGCCACCTTGATTAGCACTTAATGGCCTAGCAGTTTTCAAGATCTGGCTTCTTACTGCCTGGGGAAATCTTTTGTTGGGAGGTGATTAGCTGGTCCTGATTGTTTCTTGTCTGGAATTCCCCTGTTTTTGAGTGTTGTTCTTAATTTACAGTTATGATTTTAGAGGGTTTTTTTTTAAAAAAAAACTGGTAGCCAGTAAAATCATAACAGTAAATAAAGAACATCACTCAAAAACTGTGGAATTCCAGACAAGAAACAATCAGGGTCAGTGTATTGTCGAAGGCTGTCATGGCGGGAATCATTGAGTTGTAAGTTTTTCTGGCTGTATGGCCATATTCCAGAAGCATTCTCTTTTGACGTTTGCCCTGCATCTATGGCAGGCATCCTCAGAGGTTGTGGGGTCTGTCGGAAAGTAGGAAAATTGGGTTTATATATCTATGGATTGTCCAGGGCGGGAGAAAGAACTCTTGACTGTTCGAGGTAGGTGTGAATGTTTCAATTGGTCACCTTGATTAGCATTTAATGGCCTAGCAGTGTTCAAGATCTGGCTTCTTATTGCTTGGGGTAATCCTTTGTTGGAAAGTGATTAGCTGGTGTATTCCCCCCCCCCCTCTCCTGGAGATATATATTCACAGATATATAAACCCCATTTTCACTCCCAGGTAGCCACTGCCAGTTCCATTAGGACCTGAGGATGGCCAAGAGGTGCCTTCTATCACTATCTTACTAGGACCGAGAGGGATTGGACCTCGGAGGTTTCGAGAAGGAGCCATGCTTTGGAGCCGCGTGGATGAATGCAAGGCTCAATCTTTCGCTCTCTCTCGCTCTCTCTCTCCTCCAATCTCTTTCTCCGCCACCCCTTTCCTTCCTCTCCGTTCTCCATTCCACGCAAACAAATCTGGAGAATTCATATGGATTTTCGCATTCCGGAATGCTCAAGGAAAGCGAGGGGGGAGGGGAAGGGGAGGTTAGGACTGGATGGGAAAGAAGGACTCTCTCTCTTTGAAGCCTTGGGTCTTTCTCCATTTCGACGCCTTCCTTTTCGGCTCAGCAATATATAGAATAGATCCTTGGCAAGAAAGGGCGGAAGGCTCCGCGCAAAGGGACCTTTCCCCGCAAATGGTGTTGAAGGCGGGAGAGGAGAGAGTCCTTTGCTTGAGCCAAGGCTGGCTGGCTGTGGATTGGGTTTCTCTCTCGAAGAATTCCTCCATCCCGATTCCTCTCCTGAAGGGATGGCTGGGCACAGGCGAAGTTGGTAGAGAGTTGAAGCAGGGAGCGCCTGGGTGACCCCTCTCAGGACGAGTGTCCTCAGGGGCTGGGAGCCTCACAACACCCCCTATGAGGATGGGGGAAAGCCATCCAATCCTAGAGCCGGAAGACCCCAAGGGCCATCCAATCCAAGCCCCTTCTGCAAAGGAAGAACACACAATGCAGAGGGACACCTAGCCTCTGTTTACAAACCTCAAGACAAGGAAAACTAACCATACTCTGTGACAGTTTATTCCACTGTGGAACAGCTCTAACCCCCAGAAAACTCAAGTTAAGATGGAATCTCTTGCTCAGTGCTTCTCAGCCTTCCTGATACCACCACCCTCATGTTGTGGTGACCCCCAACCATAACACTATTTTCGTTGCTACTTCATAACTGGAATTTTGCTACTGTTATGAATGGGAAGGATACTAGAGACAAAGTTGAAGTACTTTGGCCACATCATGAGGAGACAGCAAAGCTTAGAGAAGGCAATTATGCTGGGGAAAGTGGAAGGCAAAAGGAAGAGGGGCCGACCAAGGGCAAGATGGATGGATGGCATCCTTGAAGTGACTGGACTGACCTTGAAGGAGCTGGGGGTGGTGACAGCCGACAGGGAGCTCTGGCGTGGGCTGGTCCATGAGGTCACGAAGAGTCGGAGACGACTGAACGAATGAACAACAACATATGTGATAATATTTATAGCATTACAATATATGTTTGATTGTTTATAAATAACCGATATGCCCAAATCTGAATACTGGGAGGGTTGGGGTGTAGATTGATTTGGTCATTTGGGAGTTCTAGTTGATGGGATTTATAGTTCACCTACAATCAAAGAGCACCCTGAACTCCATCACAATGGAATTGAACCAAACTTGGCACACAGAACTCCCATGACCAACAGGAATTACTGGAAGGGTTTGGTGGGCATTGACCTTGAGTTTTGGAGTTGTAGTTCACCTACATCCAGAGACACTAACAATGATATATCTGGATCTGGACCAAACTTGACACAAAGACTCAATATGCTCAAATGTGAACAGTGGTGGAGTTTGGGGAAAATAGACTTGACATTTGGGAGTTGTAGTTGCTGGGATTTATAGTTCACCTACAATCAAAGAGCATTCTGAACCTCACCAATCACAGAATTGGGCCAAACTTCACACACAGAACCCCCATGACCTACAGAAAATACTGTGTTTTCTGATGGTCTTTGGTGGCCCCTCTGACACCCCTTCATGACCCCCAGGGGTCCCGACCCCCCCACCCTAGATTGAGAAACACTACAGCTGGAGGTCACTCAGGACATTGCACATCTAATTTAGGACCAGATTTTGCATTTCCTGGCCCAGTATCTAATATCCTTTTGTCTTGTACAAATCTGACTAAGAAGCCACTGTTTGATAACACTTTACCTGTTCTAGCTTACCTTCCATTTGTTGTGACACAAGAGCTCTCTAACAGAGACTGGTAAATATCTTAGAACAATAGCATCATAGAGCTGGAAGAGACCACAAGGGCCAACCAGTCTAACCCCCAGCCATGCAGGAACACACAATCAAATCACTTCTGAAGATGACTCAATAGCAGTATGTGTGAAACGGTCTTGGAGTCCTCATGGACAGCAAGTTAAGCATGAGTCAACAATGTCATTTGGCACCTAAAAATGCCAATGGGATTTTGGCCTGCATAAAGAGGAATATAGTGTCTAGATTCAGAGAAGTCATGCTACCCCGTATTATGTCTTGGTCAAGCCACATCTGGAATACTGTGTCCAATTGTGGGCACCACAATTGAAGGGAGATGTTGACAAGCTGGAATGTGTCCAGAAGAGGGTGACTAGAATGATCAAGGATCTGGAGAACAAGTCCTATGAGGAGCAGCTTAAAGAGCTGGGTATGTTTAGCCTGAAGAAGGGAAGGCTGAGAGGAGACATGATAGTCATGTATAAATATGTGAGGGGAAGTCATAGGGTTAGGGTTCACAGTGATGCCCATTGTGCTGGGAGGGGTGGGGTAATGGAAGGCCCCTGATGGTGAAGCCAACTCCATCTTGTGTGTTACTCAGCTTCCACTCTTGCCAGGGCATATCTACTTGTTGGGAGGAATGTCAGCATGGTCCAAACAG